TACTAAGATAGTCAGTAAAAATGAAGAACATGACAGCTGTAATACTTACATGGATCTACAAGCTCCCCAAGGATGGAGCTGATGAGACTATGGCGAAAATAATTCAAAAGATATCTTAAATATGCTTTCTTTGAAGATAGGACAGTTCAACAAAAGCCTGACACACTTAAGTGGCCCCCCGCAGACTTACCTGTTCATGCCCATAGTATGCTGCGATGTGCAATGGAGTAAAGAAAACTGCATCTTGAATGTTGACATTAGCTCCATGTTGCAACAGCACATCAGCAGCCTGGAAAAGAAAGAGATCTTGGTTAGGAACTTCATTTGGGGCATCTGCCCATCAAAATTCAGTTTATAACCACCATGTACACATCTTCATCAGGAGTCATCCTGAAACACAACTTTCTTTCACCTCCTTTATCTAAAACATTTAATATTTTGCTTTTGCCTAAAAAATAAAGACCAAAATGTCTTAGTGTGACATTCAGGGTCCCTTCAGTCTGATTATATCATTTTATAATATATTTCCCATTAGTCTCTTTCATAAACCCAATTTTGTATTCAAACTGTTTCAAGTTTCCTGCTTCTTTGAAACTATATTCATACTATTTCTTCAGCCAGAAATTCCCTTCTGCCCAATATACAGATGTTTAAACTCCAGCTAAATCTTGCCAGTTCCTCCCAGATTTCCTTGATTTCCCTCCTTTCATTGCCATCTGCCTGGCTGAAATTAAATATTCCCTTCTGTTAAATCTCATGCAACTTTCATTCATGTAATTTAGAACATTTTTTTATTACGTACATGCCTTATCATCCCTACTAAGGAGTAAATTCTTTAAGGAAAAAGTGTATATTGAATTCATTTTTATAATCTTACTCTAGCATGTTGTCATGCAAATAGTAATCACTCAATAAACATTAGTTAAATAAATGAATGAATTAATGAGCAAGTTAAAACACTACCATGAACTGTTGGCCAATTGTCTTCATGGAAAGCCATAGATTAGCAATCATAGGGGAGGAAAAAAATTATTTTTCCTTTACCCATTCTAGGTTCATGAGCTGGGGCCCTGTAAATTAGACCGACAAAAGACAGATAAATGAGAGAAAAATAAACAGAAGTCTATTAACATGTACATAGCACATACACTTAGGAATACTCAG